AACTGATTAATTCGAATTCAATTATTTCATTTCTGAATTTGATAGATTTTTTACTATAAAAAGATGGAAATGTGAGACAGAAAGGATCAGCTGCATTTTCAGCATGACTTACTCTAATACTCATAATAAAAATAAAAAATAAAATAATAATAATGATAAATAAATAAATAAATAAATCATAATGTATAATAGCGATGATAACGAGATAATAGATTACCTAACCTTATGAGCCATGTAACTTCCCATAAAAAGTAGCAATTTATTATAGATTTCAATGAAATAACTGAAGAATTAGCCACTATTCTTAACAACTTTTGATCAAAAAACACGCAAAAGACAAGCATGAATTAAGCTTGGAAGGTAAAGGTCTGAGTTTGAGTAGAGAATCAGCCGCTGAGAGTAAGCTTACAAGTATCAGTTTTACAGGGCCATTGAAAATATAATTAGTGACCAGAGAAAACTTATTCATTTCATGGCTAATATATAAGAAAACTGAAGTGGACGTTGACCACTGATCATCTGGCAAGAAGCAAAATGAACAAATAGGCAGCAGTCAGCACTGCCAAGCCTTTAGGCAAGTTTGACGGAGAAAGACTGGTCTCAGGCCCTGGAACATCAAGGATCAGCAGTCCATTCACACATATCCGTTATTCTCATTCACTTCATGTGCTTGCTAGGCTTCTAATCGATGCATAGGGAATGCATGCATCTCAATTTTCTTGGCTATTTTCATCAGTCCACTCAAACTTGGCTTACTTCAGTATAGCTTTTCCTTTCCCTCCTCTCTCTTCCTCTCTCCTTTTTCCCTTCTCTTTTCCTCTACCTTTTTCTTTTTTTAAGCTAGGATACAATTTAATGGCTTTATATTAACAAGTCTACAATATACACTGAGCATTAAATACAAATGATAAACATGAGATGGATTAATATTTCGAATCAATGCTGAATATAGGCTAAAAAGTTATGAAAAATTAAAGAAAATAGATTAGTTAAGCAGTCTGATACTTGCCTTTACTTATTGACCATACCGCCAACATTTGAACTTTAGAAAAATAATCTGAGGACAATTTTGTTGACCCTTGAACTGACTTGAAATTATCGCACAAGTCTACAGATTTTTCCTTTTCATCATCTTAAGCAGTTGTACTTAGGCAACTAACTTTTATTGCTGACTTTTGACACAATACATACTATGGCAGCATTCATTTATTACTCTCATCATTTTCTGACTTTTTAATAGTTTTATTATCGTTTTATCTCTTAAAGGTGAATCATATGTGATAGAGAAAATTCTTACGTGTCAAACGTGTATGAGAAGGTATTTAAAAGCATAGCAAGAACTGATGTAAATAAATTAGTTTGCTTTTTAACTGAGCCAAGCCTAAAATTGTGATTGATTATCAGTGCTCCAGCTCATGAAGATTATTTTTAAAAGTAGCGCTGGTAGAAAATTAGCATAAAATAGTATGCTTGATTCTTGACTTTTTGGTACTACTGTAAAAAGGCATGGATATTACAAGCATAGTTCTTATCTGAAATTACATAAGAACTAAACTGTACTGCTGAACCAAAATCGGTTTGCCTTTGTTTTGAATGAATTCGATCTTTTTAAATTATTTACTTATTTTTGTGAATCGTTGTTTATTTCTTAATACCTGCATACATTATTTGCTAATATATATCACTGAATAAATTCATTTTTCTAAACAAATTTTGAAAATGTAAGAGTGTGTGCAAAAAACTCTCAATAATTTGAAAATGATAAAAATTCAAAAAAAGCAAACAAACTGCAATAAAAATAAAATATTGTCAAAGAACGAATTACTTACTCACTTAATAAAAGCCAATAGATGAAAAGTGTATTAATTGGTATGACTTTTGCTTTTGCGAGTTTGAATTGAAGTAAAGAATTACTTTGTTTAAGACGCAAACGCAAACGCAAACGCAAACGCAAATGCAAACAGGTTCAACGAACTGTTCAAATTAGAATAAATTGTACTTTCTAGGACTCAAACAAGTTTAACTCATCAAAAAAGTTTTGCGGTTTTTTGCTTTTCCAAAATTGAACCAAACAGAACCAAAAACTTTACACTTTTCGAAGAAAATTAGTTTCTAAGCGCATACTTTAATGAAAATTTGTTAAACCTTTTGTAGGGGTAGCACATTCCTCAACTCATCAAATTTGTTACCAGAAATGTACACGGTGATAATTTTTGTGATAATTAAGTATTGAACTGATTTATTGACAAAATTATTGAGCGCTGCCTTTTTCATCAATATTTTACTTCCTGCAATAACGCAAAATATTTTTTTTACTACTTTATTGCTAACAAAAAAATTAGCTATTACTTTTAAATCCAAAAAAGGCATACGACAGGCAACTGAGACATCTGAAGACAAAGAATCAACAGATGAAATGACAGCAGTAGCACCGTTCACACTGAAGAAGAAGATAAATACAACGGCGCTTACTTACGAATGAAAATGAAAAAAGTAAGCACAATTAATGATAACAACTTCTCTGTCAAATCCTTAGAGCGGTGTGCCAAGCATTCAAATTTTGCAGTGAAAGAAATAAATAACTGAGAAAGTATTTGAATTAGAATGAAAAGAGCACAATTACTAATTAATTAGCTCTTCGTGAAATTCAGCAACGATTTATTGGTAGATAAAGTATGCAAATTTACAAAAATCGAATTTTTTTGGCGTAAAGCAAATTTCTAATAGTATTAAGGAATCTTAAAGTGGGTAACAACGATTATACTGAATAAAATAGTTGACCTTGTGAAATGGCATGTCCTTTTTAGGCTATTATATTCTGAAGAAACAAGTGCAATTCTCCTCTCAATTGTCAGCAAATATGCTTCAATATAGTCTATTTAGCCAAGTATTTTTTAAACTGTTTAAATGGTTGAGTTATACTTACGTCACGTTAGGTTAGGTTAGGAGAGTAAAATGTTGACGTATAGCAGGTATTAGCAACGAAGCAACAAAACAACTGAATTTGCGCTTGCACTTACTTTTATTTATTACTTTACATCATACTTTTTTAGATATATATTAGTACCCTATTTAAAAGTTAATCACATATATACTAATAAAATTACAGTGAAAATCTCTCAATTTTTATTGGCAAGTCTGGGCCTTACATATTGCTTTGCTATTAACTGAACTATATTAAATAAGTTCTATTGCAATTTCATATGCCATTGCAAATGTTCTCTCACATTTCATTTCAAATTTAAATATATGAGAAATGAAACTAACTTCAAATTTCAAAATTTGTTAATGCAAAAAAAATATTTTTTTGATTTTGAAAGTTAATTTGATGATAAAATGAAAGGAATAGAATGGAAGAAAGCGTATGCAACTATGTCAGAATCAAAAGAAATTTAGCGGTAACTTTTTATTTCCAATAATTTAATTAAGTAATTAATTACATCGTCAAATATTTAATGTCTTTGAAAGTAAAACTTTTATAAGGCTTAAAAGCATTCACACTTACTGCGAAATGCTCTTTAATTTACGCATACAGTTAAAACTAAAGAAATAGTAATTATGATTATGAAAATTATAATGACAATAATATATAACTGTTATTAATGACTAAATTAATGCTAATTAATAACAATAATAATAATAATAGTAATGAAGTAAAAGTAAATTAACTTCCTTGTGTTACTGATGACATAATATTAGATAGTGATCACATACTTTATCCAGCTTTCAATCATAACTGAAGGGCAGTAGTACTCTTCACTGTAGTAAAACTTTGAATTGTGAAAATTTTATGTTTAGCAAATTTCGATAAAATACTGCTCATATTCATATTAAAATTTAGTAATTATCTCTGCCAGTTTTAATTTGAAAAGTTGATTAAATATGAAAATTGTCAAATTGGGGATGTAGTAATTTCATAATGTGACCTCAATAACTATAAAGTTTAGAAAATCTGTAAAGCAAAATTTTGTGGATTGAGAGTGGTTGCGGTGGTGTGTGTGCAGTGAGTGTTGTCTGGTAATGGAAGTGTTCTATTTGGTGTCTTTTTTCTTCTTGTAAGTTACGGTCAGAGTTGATGTGTTACATTTTGACGCATTAATTTTCATTTATTCAAGATTTTTGTAGGTTTTCAACTTGGGGTTAACTGTGGTTGTTCAGATAGGACGGTAAAAAAGAACTACTACCTCAGTATGATCTCTGCGTTAACTGCAAATTTCACGGATTACCATGACAGTTTACGTGCATGGTATGGCTTTATAGAATGATTACATGTCTTTGGAATATTATCTGTAATCGAATTTACTGTATAACGAGGTGAACCTTTCACTCTATATATTGTTGACTGCAACATAACATTTTCATTGTTAATTACGTGTTGCAGCTAGAAAATTTCAATACATTCACTTTAAAAAAGCATTACTATTGCCATTTATAATTATCCTTTACCGTTTAATGATTAAAAAAATAAACTGTCGACAATATTAGACTAGTAATTAGTAGCTTTTGTAGCCCTAAAATAAGTATGCTGTAGAAATGTCAGTTAACCTAGATTTAGTTTTTTAAAGCACAATTTTTAAATGTGTCTGGGATTGATGTTTCTTTGTATCGCTTCCGTAAGAAAAAACTTTTTAATTTGTAACTTTTGAAATTGTTCATCATATTTGTTTTTTTAAAATTATACGAATATCGTATGTATTTTTCTTTATTAGTCCTTATGTTTCTCAAAAATCACATTAGTAGTAGTATTAATAAGTCAGGTGATCTATATGAATGAATTATTTGAGTGTCATCAGCTTTGTCAACTGCTTGTAATGAAAATTGCAAAAATCATTGCATGTGCATCTGTGATCGCTTTATATTGCCATAATTTTTATTTTCTTTAAAGATACGTAAAATTTAAAGTATACGGAGATATTAAACTGTTTTAACTTTCATCGTTTGTTTACTTCTAATCAAGAATTTTCAGTATTCATTTTTTTGTCAAACAAAAGTGATTGCAGATGTCTTGCGCTGATAACACTTGTTTGCGTGGAATGATCTTGATTGTCCGTTGGATTCCTGTAGTTTTCATTCTAGCTTTACTTTCTTGGGCTTATTATGCATATGTGGTACAATTATGCATTTGTAAGTTTCTATTCACTAATATTTTTTCAGATGACGTAGTTTTCGTTGACATTTTTTGGAAAGCAGACGAGACCATGTCAGGATTGTGTGTGTTTTTGTTTTTTCAGATACACCGTTAGCTTTGGTATTTGCACCCAAAATTGATGTGATATTACAAAATTCATGCAAGAAAAACATAATTACGTTGTTCTAATTTTCAAATAAGAATAATTTTGTTTTTCAGTTACGGTTGTTAGTCGTGTCGAACGTGGTATTTACATATTTGTGTTTCACTTACTTTTGTTGATGTTTTTGTGGTCATACTATGAAACTATATTTCAACCAATTGGTCAACCTCCAAAAATAGTAATTATTAAAAGCATCTTGATAAGAAGTCGGTATTCTTAATTTAATTTGTGTTCAGGTGTTGAAAAGTATTTCGTCAAAGTATTTTTTGAGTAAACATTTGTGACACTTATTGTTTTTTATTTACTTCATCAAATTCTAGTTCTATGTTGATGCGGAGACTCGACGAGAACTTTTGAATGCTGAGGAAAGTGAATGTAGAGAAATATTGAATCGTTACGTGCGACAGTACCAAATCCCTGTTGACAATCGTAATTATGATGGGGGTAAAGTAAATTTTACCTTTCTATTTATATTATTATATTGGTAATAATTAACATTTCACTTGCATAGAAAGGATAATAATAATTAGTATAGTTCACTTTTTGAATCTGTGCTATCATTATTTACCAATTGATGCAAATTATGCTCTTCTCATAATGTTTTTTCTTATAGTCTAGTGACATGGTAATGACAGTGTACTATTTAACTGACGTGTCAAAAATCATGAAGAGATTGCGAATTATGCGCATGTTAGATGTTTTCATATTATCCTGTCATTTTGTATGATGAAGTTTCGGTAATTAAATGTGTAACTGTTGTGTCATAAATATTCTATTTGTCTTTAATACTCGATTTCTAGGTATAAGGTATTGCTACAAATGTTGCTGTATCAAACCTGATCGAAGCCATCATTGTTCAGTTTGTGGTCACTGTGTTTTGTAAGCATTGACGATTCTACCGTTTTCAATTTACATTCAATTCCATAAAATTTCATGCTAAAGTAAAAGTGTGATGACTTCCTAAATGTTTTTCTAGGAAATTCGATCATCATTGTCCGTGGGTGAATACGTGTATCAATTTTTGTAATTATAAATTTTTTCTTCTGTTCCTTTTTTATGGCCTTATATTGTGCCTCTGGGGATTATTGACAGACTTACAATATTTCGTGGCTTTTTGGAAAGTGAGTTAATTTTGAAGATAATATAATTATTCTGACTGGAATTGAAGTCGCTCATGTAACATCAAAAATTCAAACATTATTTGTAACTACATCATTGTTTCATTGCAGAATACTTTGAGAGTTAGTGCTGGTTTCGGTCGATTTCATATCCTTTTTCTTTTTTTCGTGGCTGGAATGTTTGCTGCCTCCATCACTTGTTTATTTGCTTATCACCTTTATTTGACTGCTCGTAATCGCTCCACTATTGGTTAGTTTTAAAAATTATTATTGCTTTTCATCATTATATCTTGAAATATCTATTTATATTTTTTGCTTCTTTTTAATTCTCCATGTTTTTTTTTCAAATTTTCTAATTAAATTTCTTAACAATCTTATCGTATTGTTCAAAATATTTCGCTTCTGAAACCCTTACCTGAAAATGTACGAACTATGAAATTACTATATTGTTGGACCATGGCTACTTAATTACGTCTTATAGAATCATTTCGTCCACCAGTATTCGTTTATGGCTCAGATAAAAATGGATTTAATTTGGGTGTGCGACACAATTTCAGACAAATTTTTGGTGATAGCTGTCTCCTGTGGTTCTTACCTATATTTTCATCGTAAATCTTTTTGTTGTCATAATCAATTATTTTTCAAAACCGAGAACATTTTTTTTGTAATGTTTTGATCACCGTAATATTAGCTGAACTTCAGTTGCGGTAATGGCGTACAATACCCGGTGGGTTCTGGGGCAGCACAACAGTCGCACATTTCGATTAGCATGGGTAAGATTTAAAATAACTGATACTAGCACGAAGTGGGAGATTCCGGTTGTTAAATTGCATTAATAGATTCAGTCTTTTCACACAATCACTACAGCTTATATCTACCGACCCCCGTTTTTAGGAACAAAATTTCGTCCACGCTTATGTCAAATTATATCCTTACCCAATTACCCGCGCTACGCCTTGTACCGCTTCTACTTCATCAAGTTGAGTGCGATTTGCACGAGACATACACTCCATTACATTATTTTCAGACACGGAAGTGGTGTAACTTTTTATCACAGATGCCTTCGAACTGAATACAAAAGACTCATGCTCACCGATTTAAATGACAGTGACGATGCAGTGCTCGAAACATGATCTTTGCAAACTAGTTTTACATCGCACTTCATTATTTGCTTTTTATGTTGCGACAAACTAGGACTTGAAATCGCTATTCGAGTATCGTACCTTGATGAACTCAGAACATCTCCCCTCCAGTTTACGTATTTGACATTTTTATTGTTTTACCTCTTGATACTTATCGAATGTTGCGGATTCGGAAGTATGTTATTTAGTACGTTTGCTTCCATAATTCATCGCAGTTAAATCTTTATTAGAACACGTCACACTCCTATGTGAAGGCTGCATGTAGATCTAGTTGTTTCACAAATTAACTTTAGCTTGTACCTACCTGCCATTTGCTTTTCTTGGAAGTAGAAAAAGTTTTATCTATGCTCACGCACAGTATAATTCAGTGTGCTTGATGACTTTTATCGCAGGATACATAATTATATTGAATCGAAAGTCGCGGTTTGTTGCAGAAGATTTTACAGTGTGCCTAACTTTAATGCCTTTGGGGTTTACAAGCTTCTTGGAATAGTCGAGAGAATAGTCGCATTCCATCCCTCACATGATCATTATTTTATACGCACCCTCTACATTCTTGCAAGAACTGTTATCGCCAGTGCAACAATAAAACATTCTACTATTATTTAGTTGGAAAATTCGAACTCTTCAGCAATGCCTTGTAATAACTCGTCCACTTCTTCCATATCTCGATCCTTCAAATGACAGATTCTCATATATTATGATCTCGAACTCTTACTTCCATATCCATTTATAAAAATAGTAAGAAAAGCCAACCCCTTAGAAAGCTCATAAGAAATTGAACATAAATACCTGGACTTGATGGTACAAAAGTAGCTAAAAAGTCAAAACATACCGCTTTTTGCGCTTCTTCCATAGATACAATACTTTGCACCTGCTCCATTAAAGTAGTTTCTTCGTTACTGCTCAAAGTAACTAATGTCTTTTCACCAGAATAGTGAATTTCGATATCCTGAGATAAATAAATACAAATAACTTGATCAATAAGTTTGCTCACCGTTTAGAGACGACTAAGACTTTGATATGAGAACTCACGTCAGTAGTTCCTACATCTATATCTTCCAAAGGTATAGTTACAGTATCGACCTCCATTCCAGGAGCAATAAGCTCGTTAGGTTCATGCCGATACGAAATCAGCACATCTAACTTTGCAAGTTCAATAAATCCTTTTATTTTCTGACGATTCGTTCTGAAAAGCGCAGTCATCCAAAACATAATGACGATCAGTTAGAAAAGTTTTGAATCAAGGCTCAAACCTTTTAAACTTGTCATCAATGATGATTGAATTTATCAGATCTGATATATCAAGAGCTCTCTGTATCGCTCGATTAACACATTGTACGATCTGTAATTTATTAAATGTATGTGCGTTAAACTTCAGTCTACCATGTATTATCAAATTAATACATTTTTTTACTGAAAGTAATAAGTTTGAGCTCTTGATTGCAAACTCAATACTAAACTTCTAATATCCTACATCAACTGCAACATTTACCTACCAAATGTTCGCTGAGCGAAAAATTTCCTGATTGATGTAAAGCACAAATTTCATGTCTTTTGTTCGCTGCCACAATAAGCGTACCTTTTAAACACTGTTCTTCCTTATCAGTAGGATCAGTTACATGTAAACTGGAAATAAGTTAATGACTATGAAGAAGGTAACTCGGGGATAAAAAAATAAGCATACTATATACACACCACTGCACATCTTATAGAGCGTTAACTTACCCATCTGCAGTGATTCCAAATGTTACACAAACCGGCATGTGATACATATTGAGTGGTATCGGTGGCTTGTCTGTACTGCTGTGCTGAAAAAAAATGTTCCATCAACATTTGTTCTGTTAAATTTTTTATAGATCGACCCAAAAGAGTCCCAACCAACACTGTGACCAATTTACAATTTACTGACTAAATTAAGTCGAAATTATTTTTATTTATTCAAAAAATTCAAAGTTAGCAAGCGATATCAAATTACTAAAAATATCACGAAAATATGCAACGATAAATTAAACCGCATAAGACATGAAAGACCCACTATAAGGATGGAATCAGGTAATACAGAAACATCAGGCCTTCGAAAATGAGCAAGTGCTGCTAGGGATGCGATGCATGCGCAATCCACTAACGATCCGTCAGCAGAGAGAATATGAACATCAACACGTATCTGCCAAACCTGAAAATAAATCATGAAAGAACGCTGTTATTATTACTTCACTGCATCTTGAATTATTGTCGTTAAGACAAATATTATAAATAGAGAAAAACAAAGACCTGCTTGAATTTCCTCAAACAAAGTGATTCCAAATCAAGAACTCCGCAATCGCGGTATAATAGTTCTAAAATTCGTATCAATTGAAGACCTTTTGAACCAAGACGGCCGTCTTCAAAGTCAGGAGATGCCATTGGCGACATGTTAACTTGTACTTCAACTTTACCCATATTACCTCGCACACTCGAAGGTTCTACAACTGAGCAGCTTACTTGCGCCAAAACTCTAAAAGAAGTATCACTAAAGCTGATGCTGAAACTTTTCTGTACACAAAAATTAAGACCAATTTAACGATTCCGAAACACCTCTAAATATGAAATACTTCTACTCTAATTTTTGCTGCAAAAAAAAAACTTGCTTCGTCTCTCCAAGCATGGCTAATGCACTGCCAAACTCTAAACCAACAACAACCTTAGCTTCTCGAAACTCGTCACATTTTCGTGCATCAATCCTCTGTAAATCACAAACTTCAGGTATAGCCTCGTCAAACCAATAACCGTGATTTGGAAGCAGTAGAACTTTACTAAACTGCTATGAAGAAAACAGATGCCATCAATGTAGCAACATCCTAACACTAATAGAGAAACCGTGATAAAGAACTACAAATTGTACAACTACTAACTGCAAACTTGACTTACCGTATTTTCTGCAAACGACTGCAGATAAAAAGCTTTTTCACAATTAGAAAGTGGTTCAACCCGCATTCCAAATACACCAATATCTTAATGAATATATCACAAAAACACTGCATTTTTGATAGCATTCACCCAAATTTTGACATATACTATCATGTCATGAAATTAATGCTGTATGAAAGATACTCACTGCAGATAAAAATGCATTCAGCACTATGATCAGGCCAGTAAAAAATACAACACTGATACACAGTGTAATATAGCCATAACTGGCTTAAAATTTATCGAAAAATAATGGTAATTAGAATGAAGCAAATCAAACAACAACAGAAAAGTTAAACATAAAGCATGGACAAAAGGCGCGCATTGCATAAAAAATGATTTAGACTAATAATGTTCATTGCACAATGTACATTTATTAAAAGAGATCACCTTTACTTTTTACTCTCCGAATTATTCATCTGAGCCTGCAAACAATATGCGTTTATTTTCTTCTGTAGATTATCCACTACAGCATTTCTTGCTCGATATTTTTCCGGTAATAACTTTTCAATTACATCCATCTAAATAAATAAATTATCTTAGTAGAGTAAATAAATGAAATATAGAGATAGTTCATTCTTTATCATAATACCCGTATATATATAATCATTATATATATATATATATA